GAAGTGTTGACCAAACAGAGTAGCACAAAGAGCTAAGACCAGAAAGGCATATAAGGTCTATATCAGTGCTTTTCCAATTCTTTTTGTAGAGGATGTGGTTTTTTTACTCCAACATGTCATGGACTGGTATTTTTTGTCTAAACCCTGTTCAATGAGACAAGGATATTATCGTGCACATGGTATTACAGCAATCCAAATTGCCTCTAAATGCTCACTTACTTATTTCAATTTCAGTACTTATTTCATCAAAGAGTAGAAACAAACACTTCCTGGGCTGGGCTGGTCCATGGACCACACAGGGAGTCACACTGAGCTAGATAGATTATGAAGGTTTTATTTTATCATGAAGGCAATGTGGAGTCACTAAAGTATATTTTTTTCTGATTTCCTCTTTTTTAAATCATAGTTTTACTAATTTACAATCCCCCCCAAAAAAGGTACTATTATTCTCCCCATCTTGTGGATTAGGAAAATGTGGCTCATTAAAGTTAAAAAAACTTTCTCACAATGATAAACTGAGAAAAAAATATGGCAACTAATATCACAGGCAAGGATTAATTTCCCTAAAACAATAAAAGCTCCTGGGAATAAAAAGTTCAATAGAAAAAAATGGGCAAGGAATATGAAGACTGTTCACAAAACAGTAAATACTAACAGCCTTTACTTGTATGAAAACATGCTTAACTGTACTAAGATACACAAACTTAAATTCTACTGAGAAAACATTGCCTAGCAGACTAGCAAAAATCCAAAAATTTGAACAAATCACTCTATTGGTGGATTTGGAAAGAGAAAAAAAAGCACTCTTACAACATTACTAGTAGGAGTATAAATTGGTACAGTATCTGTGGAAGGCAGATACCCTTTGGGGTAGTCATCAAAGCTGCTCACAAATATCCTTCTCTTTCTCTTTCAAAGTATACTATACTGTTCATTGAAAGTTAAATATGGTTGTATGATTTGCTTCAGCCAAGGAAATATGAGCAGAAGTGACATATCATATCTTCTGGGTGGAAGTTTTAAGAACCAGAGTGCAATCTGCTATGTTCTCTTTCATGTATCTTTTCTTTCCCTCTATCACTCATACTGACAATGTCTTCGATGCAGGCTGTTCCACCAGTCTGGACTGCAGAGAGAAGACAACTTAAAGCAGAACTCCTGGACATGCAGGATGACAAGCAGCATGAGCAAAATAAACCTTTACCGTTTTAAGCTACTGACAAATGGAGGGCAATGTGGCAATTTTTATCAAATTTGTAAATACATATCCCCTCAAATATACTTGCAAAATGACGTATATAAAAGGTGCTCATTTACAACATGGTTTGTAATGACTGGAAACAACCAAATGAACCAAATTAACATCAACAGAATACTAGTTAAATACTTGCAGGACCTTCATACAGCAAAATATCTGTAGCTATTGAGAAAAAAATTATCTTAGAGCTAATATGGATCTCCAAATGAAAAAATAAGATGTTCTCAGTATGTGTACCAATTTTGTTTAAAAAAAAAAAAAAGTGAGGGGGTTACAATATATATTCATATTTTCTTGCATTTGCACAAAGCAACTCTAGAGCAATAAGAAACTAACAATTATTACATTGGACAGAGCATTAAAGGGTGACTAGGTGGAACTTCCAATTACTCAGGAAAAAAAATTTGGGGTGCTGTACTTAACTTCCTAATGTCACAACCTCAATAAGTCAAGCAAATCTCATGTTAAGTATAAATAGTGTACTTCTACCTCTATCTGACACCCTTCATTAAACTCTGGCTTATCTTTATCCTCTTGGCCACATCTAATCAGCTTCTAGTTACATTACCTGTGTTAAGAATATATTTACTATTGTTCTCTTATTCAATTAAGTAGCAATGGTTCTTGGTTACTCTTAAATAAACCATGCTTTTCCCTAAATGATTCCAAGCTTCGGCAACTGTTTTTAGCTATTCTTTTTGAGAGACTCCAAATTGCTTTTTTTTTTTTTAAAGATTTTATTTATTTATTTGAGAGAGAGAATGAGAGACAGAGAGAGAGCATGAGAGGGGGGAGGGTCAGAGGGAGAAGCAGACTCCCTGCTGAGCAGGGAGCCCGATGCGGGACCCGATTCCGGGACTCCAGGATCATGACCTGAGCCGAAGGCAGTCGCTTAACCAACTGAGCCACCCAGGCGCCCCCCAAATTGCCTCTTAAAAAGAAAAAAAATCATAACAAACTGTGTCTGCTCCAATATATTCTTGTTTTTCCTCATTCAGAACTTTTATGTGAATGTTATTTGTTTTACTTTCCTTTATAATAAGAATTTTGAGACCCTTACTTATGGAAAATTAGAAACAAAAAGTTAGTATTATAACACTGACTCCATAAATGTTCACTGTAAATGTTTATCTCATGTCAATCTAGATCAAGACTCCAAATCTAAAACCTACATACATGTATAACTGTATTAATACATTCATTACATTATAAAAATGTAAAAAGCATAAAAGAAACAATTTAAGATTAATGATAAAAAATATTTTTTGCTGTCACTAAAAGTACTAGCAGTAATAACATTTTCAGTGAAAGCAATGTGATGCAATATGCCTCATTATTTTTTAAATCTTGGTTTAACATTTTGTTATAGAATTATTTGAAGGACTGGTTCCACTTTCAATTACGTCAATACTTGGTTTTCAAAGCTGTCAAAAAGATACAGATACATCAGTCAAATGAAAGATGTGCAATTGGTTCCTACATAGCAATTATTCAAAGATTTTGTTGAAATTTGGCTAAATTCTCATTTTTCTCTGATATCTTCCCAAATATTTTTAACAAATAAGTTCAAACCTCACTGAAAATTTTCATTAGAAATATTTTTAAATATGTTAATAGTTTTCTTTTTTTTAAAGATTTTATTTATTTATTTGACAGAGAGACAGCAAGAGCAGGAACACAAGCAGTGGGAGTGGGAGAGGGAGAAGCAGGCTTCCCGCTGAGCAGGGAGCCCGATGCAGGGCTTGATCCCAGGACCCAGGGATCATGACCTGAGCCGAAGGCAGATGCTTAAAGACTGAGACACCCAGGGGCTCCATAAATATGTTAATAGTTTCTTTCCAAGATTTTAGAACATGCAGTTATGGGTTTTTATAGGTAACAGTCATTGTTTCTGATAAAAAAAAAAACCAAACACACACACACAAAAGAAAGCATTTTCAAATGTCTGTATTCAAAGCAGCTACCTTTTCAATCATTATTAAAACGTTATCTTCTCTCTGAAGGATCAAATTAGCAGTGCTTGTAAGAAGCTAGAACAGGGCGCCTGGGTGGCTCAGTTGTTAAACATCTGCCTTCGGCTCAGGTCATGATCCCGAGGGTCCTGGGATCGAGCTGTGCATCGGGCTCCCTGCTCCTCGGGAAGCCTGCTTCTCCCTCTCCCACTCCCCCTGCTTCTGTTCCCTCTCCCGCGCTCTCTCTGTCAAATAAATAAATTCTTTAAAAAAAAAAAAAAGCTAGAACAATATGAGCAACAAAATAAATGATAATGACTATAACTGTAAAATGCAATACATTATATAATAAATTAGGTATCCACGAGTCCATAGTGATATAAATAAATTGATGGGAGAAAAGGGAAATCTCTTCCTTATAGGAGAATGCCAACTAATGAATGTAGAAAGTATACTGGAATTAGAAAGTTACCATTTGGCAGCCACCGCTAGTGATGGTAGATTCAGACAGAAGTCATCAATGGATGCTTAGCTCATAGGTAGAGACGCAATGTGGAATAAGATATTGGCACAGTCTCAGTACACAAAACACGTACCAGTTACATCAATTACAAAAGGAAAAAAAGGTGACTTGACAGGTTGGAAACCTAAGCAATAAAAACTTAAATAGGTGATTGAGGTTAATATTAAGAAGGGTGGCACATGTTGACACATGTACTTTCTGATACAATTCACTAAAAAGAGCCCAGCATCATTTTTATGTAATTCTTGCCAAGAAAGCATGGCCTGAGTCTGAACATGAGGAAACATTGGATGGACCCCAAATGAAGAACATGCTACAAAATAAAAGACCTGTACCATCTGTCCAAGATAAAACTGAAGAACTGTTCCTGATTAAAGGAGACTAAAGAGATATGACCACTAAATGCGACATGTCAGCCTGGATTGTATCCTGGACCAGGAAAGAAAAGAGACATTGTTGGGACAGCTGGCAAAATTTGTATGGTGTTTTGACTATGGTGTTGCCATTGCTGATTTCCCTGTGGATAGTTACATTGTAGTTATACAGGAGAGTAGCCTTGGTTTTTTGGGAAATACAAATAGGACTATTTAAGAGTAACACATTATCTCTTCAACTTTTTCTCAAATGGTTCAGAGAAAGATTAATCATAATAGATGGAGGGTGATGAAGCAACTGTGGTAATGTCAACAATCGGGGCATCCTGGCAAGAAAGATTTAAGAGTTCTTTATACTGCTATTTTGGCAACTTTTCCCTAAGTCTGAAAGTATTTCAAAATAAATTATTTTTCAAGTGTGTTTACACATGTGAGCATGCTTGCATTTTTAATATCTGCCAGGTATTATACTACTGACAGCCCCTTGTCATCATTTAAAAACATCCTCCATCACAAAGGCCCTCTGTAATAGGCCAGCCCAGTGGCCTTGAACTGGGTAGCCAAGGGAGACCACTGACTCTAAGAGGCCTTGTAATGGTTCCCTGTCCTAAGCTCAAAATAAAATGGCCTCAAAGTGACAATGGTACTGAAAATAGCATATAACTTAACCTTCAGGCTCTCAACCCACTAGGTCTATTTGATTTCCATTAATCAGCATAGAAGGAAGCCAACAACCACCTCCCATCCCTTAAGGCTCTAACTTACTTGTCATGCATTCCCAGAAGCACACTATAAGAAGATGACTAATCACTGACTGCTTCTTCAGCACCATATGTCTCCAAATTTCAAAGGAAAAATTGTCCCAACTAGTACTAGAAAAACAGATTTCCTACCTCCTGCAGCCGGAGTCGGACCTTGGTAACTGCTCGGATCCAGTGTGCTCTGGCTTGGGTAAATGGCGAAGAAGCATTTTCCTCAGGAAAACTTGTAACAAAGAAAAGAATGTTTCTTTAAAAATAGCCCAGGTCATGGTCCCGGGGTCCTGGGATTGAGCCCCACGTCCACCTCCCTGTTCGGCAGGCAGCCTGCTTCTCCCTCTCCCACTCCCCCTGCTTGTGTTCCCTCTCTCGCTGTGTCTCTCTCTGTCAAATAAATAAATAAAATCTTAAAAAAAAAAAAAAAAAAGCCCAGGCCATAGGGTGACCGCTCAAGGCAAAACTGCCAAATATCTTAAGTAAAATGATCTGTATTCATGCCTAGACTTGTTTCATGAGTCAGGCCACTAAACAACATAGTCCTAAATAGCCAATGTGGGGAAAAAAATGCTCTCTAAAATGACAGCTCCTTTTACCTTTTTATCCATTCCCGCTCTTCTTTCCCCATTTTTCACTCACCCAATGAGCCAGCTCACTGGGACAGTCAGGTTTCAGGATTCTAGTAAAAGCAATGGCAAGGCCCTGAGTCAATGTTAGCACAAAAACTATGCAGACATGTGGACTAATCCTTGCGCCTTACCTCTCAAGACCACCAGTCTCCCTTGGGTGTTCTACATGTCATCCATCCTTAGGGCAGGATTTTGTTCCTGCAAACCCTTCCTGCTCCACTAAGAATTTTGGAAGGCTTACCAATTCCTAGACTACAACAAAAATGCTAAGGAAAAAAGCCCAGCCCTTTTCCTACCACAGTCCTGTTCCTTGAGCTGCCTTAGGGACACCCTCAATGAAACAACAATAAATATAACAAAGTAGTTTTGGGACAGAAACACTTTGCTGTATTAGAACAAATCATCCTCTAGATTCTTAACTGTGGAATAGTGGTCAATTCTTGGTGACAACGCTTCTCCTCTCTCCCACCGAGGTCTAGTGCCAAGGCAGCAAACAAGCATCCACCATCTAGATATCTGAAATATAGGTCAAGCTCTGATGCCATCCAACTGGATCAACTGTTTTAAAATATTGTGGGCACTGCTGACCAAGGTAGAACTGGACTTCACTTGCACAGCTAGGATCTGAAAGGACACAGCCAGTAGAGAAGGACAAATACCCGTGCTGGGCACTTCTGCTGCTCTACCAAGAACTCTACCCAGACAATAGCATCTGCCAAATCTAAGGTCTACAAAGAGCCATTTTTCACTGGGTCATCAACCACACCTCTTGAATGTCTTGTCTATTAGATGAACCATCACCGATGACTAAAGACCAGGAAAACATAAGGAGAAAAGAAAATAAGTTTATATCTTCAGTGATGGAGTAGATACACCAACAATTCTTCAACCGTCTACCACTTATAACTGTACTCACTGCTCTGACCTTTTGGTGGAGGCTTTATTTTTAGACCTTGAAATTTGAGAATCCAAGTCACACCTAGCCCTTATCACTCTACCCCAGTGGTTTTCAACTGGGGGCAGTTTTGCCCTCCATGGGAAATCTGACAACATCTGGAGACATTTTTGGTTGTCACAACTGATGGTTGCTACAAGCATGTAGTACGGAGGCCAGGGATGCCACCATACATTCCACAATGCCCACAATAGCTCCTCATAACAAAGAATTATCTGGTCCCAGATGTCAATAGTGCCAAGACTAAAAACCTGCACTCTGCCCCAACCTATCAGCAAATCTACTGACCAATTCAGCTCAGTAACAATACTACTCAAACACTGTACTAAGCTTCATTACAAGACTGTTAAAAAGACAAGTTTAAAATTTTTCTTCTTATGGGTACCAATTAATTCCAGACACACTACTAGACTCTGGGGAAGCAGAAGGGTGAGTTTGATCTGGCTTTTAGACCAATTCTTTCTTCACTCTGTCCTGGTTTTCTCCACCAGGAAAAAACAAAACGAAACAATGCTCACATAAGAATTTTAAACATTAGGGCCGCCTTGGTGGCTCAGTTGGTTAAGCGACTGCCTTCAGCTCAGGTCATGATCCTGGAGTCCTGGGATCGAGTCCCACATCGGGCTACCGGCTCAGCGGGGAGCCTGTTTCTCCCTCTGACCCTCTCCCCTTCATGCTGTTTCTTTCTCGCTCACTAATAAATAAATAAAATCTTTAAAAAAATTTTTTAAACGTTAATAGGCTGGGAAGCCTATTTCATCCAAAGCAGCTCCTTTTAATGAAGTAAGTTGTAAGGCTTAAATCAGTTCCAGACTCAGAGGCTACCAAAAATAGGTCAATTAGTAGGCCAATAACTACAGATTCAAGAGGGCCTGGTACACTGCAGCTAACTACAAAGAACCCAAGTGTTCTTCAGAGATTCTCAAAATATTTAGGGAATTATACCAAAAATCAAAGGAAGCAGCGCAGAGCTAAACCTCAGTATCCTGGATCACTACCATACCCACCTGTAGGGAAACAAACGAAAAGCACTTACACCCAGAAATACCACAGGCAGGTACTGACGAAACCACGTGAACTCCTCAAGGCAGCCATCACCTACCTCTCCTGGGGGCCTAGGATGTGGTCTTTGTGTAGCACCAGATCTGGGGGAGGAAGGATTGTGGCATCTTCTTTCCTCTCCTTGGGTTCACAGGCTCTCCCCTTCTCTTCTTCATCTGTCACCTCCAAGGCTTTCTCTTGTTCTCCAAAACCCACTTGGCCATCTCTAGAGAAGCTGTCAGAGCTGTGGCACGAATGAATGGAGTCCCTCTCCCGACGGTCATCATCTTGTTCATGACACTGGTCTAGCTCACTCAACTGAGAGCTTCCTTGACTCACATTACAGGAGGAGCCATACCTACTACTGCTGGTGGGGCTGTGAGAATGAGAGGAAGACAGATGAGTACGTACATGCAAACTAGGGACCAGGACAAAAGTAATGGATAAATCCAGAAAGAATGATTCTTTCAGTAGCAAGAATCACAAATAGGAGGTTCCTGGGAAGACAGGACCAAACTTCACAATCTAGAAGAACTAGCTGCTAGTCAGCAGAAGCACAAAGGAAAAACAATACAACATGCTGGATTCTCTAATAGCACTTAACCTCAACCTGTGAAAGACTTTGAGGCATACTTGTTTGAAAGTGATTTTTGTAAGCAGGGGCTTAACCTTAATTATTAAGAATTATTAAATATAAAAGTAGCCTCTTGTTTACACCTAATATCTTTACCAGGACTTCTAAAGAAACTTGTCCAGTGGCTGTGATTAAAGTTTTCTAATTTCCATAAAGTAAAATGGATGAACTCTACTCCCTTTTTTTATTATTTACTAAACTGATGCCCCTTTTCTTCCTCTATAATTATAAATGTGAATGTCTGTTCCTTAGGATGAGCAAAGGAGATTGGTAATGTTCCTTCAGTTATCTTGCAGCTATCTACATAATGAGATAATGGAAACCATTAGGAGATGAAATCTATTACCAAAAAAATTCCTCTGGGGAATGGTCTCATCAACATGAATGTTACAACGATATCCCTGGCAGCACAGGGAAATGTCCCAAAGATAAACTTGCCCACCTGTAACTGAGTTGCTCTCAGGACATGGCTCGTTTGGGATAAAGTGGACAAAATCCAACTCCTGGATCTGGGTCAGGACCATACTAATGCATTTCTATACTTGAAGAGAGGCCAGCCCAACCCTTTCTCAATCACCTGAAGTCCCATACCCAGAAAGGAAATTTGTTCCCCTGCTATGAAAGACAGCACCTATAGCAGAGAAAGTGGCAGTGAATTATGATTAGAAAGAAGAGCAGTATCCACAAGTTACTCCCTTGAGCCGTATACTGAATTTAAGGCTGTCAGTCCTACTCAAGATAGAGGTTCTAGATGATGGTCTGTAAGATCTATCCCAGCTCATATGGATAGTTCTATCCCAAGTCAGGGGCCCCCCTTTTACTTCCGGTATTCTGCTAGAAAGCCTCCATGCAAAAGGACAAAGATCCCTGCCACAGAGTCAAGCCTTTAACTAAAGGGTTTATGTTCACCCTTGACTAAGTGAAGATACATCATTATTGTTTCCCAGGGATATTTTCTCTATGGTTCCTCCCAATTACCTGGTATTTTCAGGCTAATTTCTGATCCTTTGTCCCATGGCAGCAGGACAGGTACCAGGTCACTGTTATGAACAGTTCCTAACACATGTGTATACACACATACACACACACACACACAATCTCTAAAACCAGCCACTTTGGACAGGTTTGGGCAAGAGGTCCTGGCAGCATTCTTAAGCTGTACTGTTTATGGTATACTGTTTATGGTGCTTCTTCTTAGGGGAAATAACAGGATCTTTTCCACATGGACACAGCACAATGCTCCAGAATAAAGAACTACAGCAAATGATAGCCTTAAGCTCCTGTGACACTTTACTCAAAGCATTTACCAGACACCAGTCTTAAGGGTGTGAAAAGGCAAAGACTGAAAGAAGCTATGCAAATCCATGTGGAATAGGATATAGAATATAAATTATCCCAACCTTTGCATCTTGCATTTTACTTAATAACCTCATTGCCACTGGAGAAAGCATCTTAGAAGACTTGGAAAGGCAAAGCACAGTATATCTCTCCCAGCTAGTATAGATGTAAGTGCTGAAGGCCCAAGGAAGCATCCTAGCCTATCATTAATATATGCCACACTACTACTTGCTGCCTCTTCCTGCCCTCCATTCTCCATTCCACTTTACATAAGGCAGAGCAAACTAGAGTGAGTAAATCCCAGGGCCCAGCCTTTCCTTTAGCAGTAAATTCCTTCTCCCAATAAATGAATTACATTTGGCACTAGAGAGACAGGAGAGGATGAAAAGACCCACACATTGTTTCTTGTTACTTAACCTCTAGTTAACATGAAGCTCAGATGCTAAGAAAGACATAGGAAAAATAAAAAGCAGGCTACCATTAAACTACCACTAAGTCACTGCATCATAAATGGTCAATTTCTTAAAATCATTTATGATGCTTAGGTTGAGAACAGGCCTTTTGTCGGTCTTTGGTTCCTTGATGCCATGGAGAGTAACTGGCTGCTGTACGTTTGAAAGAGAGTCAGTACTAGCAGGCATCACCTCCTCCTTTTGAGTTTCTGGCTGGTGAAGTAGCTCAGTCACAGTGCAATGTTCTTCCTTATGACTCCCTGAAGGACAGGTGGAGCTAGAAAGGTTGTCTTTGGAACCCCAGTGTTCTCCTGATGCTGAGACTTCCTGCTGGTTTTCCATTTCTCCAGGCCCTGAAAGCTCATGAGCACATATACTTGGCCTGGTCTCCTGCTGCTCAGAGGTGCCAGAGGGTTGAGTAGCTGGCTCAGCATTAGCCTCAGACATTTGAGAAGACTCTAAAGCTTTGTCAGCCTCCCTAGCGTTAAGGTCCTGATCACTGCTGATAACCAAAGCTGGAGAAGAGGATTCTGCAGGCGTTTGTTCAGGGCCCCCTTTGTTCTCTTTTGGCCATGTGAATGAAAGATCCAGCTTCTTTCCAAACCTTAGTTTTAGATCATTTGCCATTATATTCCCTTTCCCCTCATTGCCTCCCTCAAATAGAGTTGACAACTTTTTAAAACTGGCCATTAAACCAGGCTCTGCTGCTCTATCGCCAGAGGAAGGAGATGGGGAAAAGAAAGAGCTCAGTGGTTTCCCACCGTCAGTGGCAGAGGATGGGAAATGGAATTTTGGCCAATTGGTCATATTTGGGATGTCAAAATGAGGTCTTGGCTGCTCTGTTTCCTGGGGGACTGCAGGTAGATCTTTCTGGGTATCGAGTATCCCATAACTTTCTTTGGCACAAAGCGCAGGTTCCTCTAGCACAGGGTGGGAAAGGTATCCTTGGGGTTCTGGTGTGGCACTCTGGCCAACACTTGCCTCACTGAACAGTGCAGTACTGGTTTCCAGTGAACTGACTGCCTGTAGTTCCAAGAAGTCTTGGTTTGTGGAGGCAGACTGCATAGCTGGTTTTGCCTTAAGAGGAATAGGTGGCAGAACCGGAGGAGGAAGCTCTTTGGCAATACAGGTAGGATCTGAATCCAAATGTGATGGCAATGGAATATGCTCTGCTTCCAATGATGCCTCTGTGTCTGTGCCCTGCAACAACCCCATGTCTCCTTCATCACTCAGAGACAATACTCCTTGCCCAGCATCGTCCCCTGAAACAGAAGGTGCAGCCCCAATCATTTCAGAATCTTGGGGTTCTAGAATATTGTCAGGAATATTATTGTTTTCCATTTCAGTTGTTAGTTTAGTATCATCTGTCAGGGTCTCTGAGTCTGACTTTGCACTAACTACAGGCATCGTACAGTCACTGAGAGTAGATTCTGAATTGAGTGCTGAAGAGGAAGCTTCTCTCCACAAATTTTCCGGAGGTACTGATCCTACAGTATCTCTGCAACTACCATTTTGAGGCCATGCAGTAGGTGGGATAGGTGATTCTTGTTTGTATGTGTCTGGTTTGGGACTTTTAAAAATTCCAAATAACTCACCTTTGAGGGACTGAGATGATGTACCAGAAGAAAGAGAGAAAAAGGAGTTTTTCTTTGGTGGTTTAGGAGGGGAGAAAAGTCCAGAGAAAGTTTTGGGAGGTTCAATTAAGCACCCAGAGAAAGACTTCACTTTTGTCACAAACCCTGAAAGCACCTCTACTGAGGAGCCCAACATTGATTTGTCTTCCTCTTTATCCGCCTCTCTGCTTTGGAGGTGCCTTGTACACCCTGGCTCCACAGAGGGAGAGGTTGGCTCCAGGATCTGTGTTAAGACCTCATCAGGGGCCTTTTCCAATGGCAAGTTTAAGAGGTCACTAGTAAATCTTTCATTTTGGTGGTGGTTAGCACAAGTGTCTGAACTGTTGAGCTTTTCAGTCAAATGGTTATCATGTGGAAAAGACTTGGCCAATGAGCCACTAGGGAAGGCTTCCTGTATGAAAGGTTCTTCTTCACAAGGAGCTACCCCAAGGGTCTCTGGACCAATGAGCTGTGTTTCAGTCTGGGCCTGAAATTCTGGTGAATGAGGAAAAATGTCATTCTGCAACTGATTCATCTGGAAATCTGCTAAAGATGTCCCTAGTCTGTAACTAGAATCTAGTTTTCCCTGATAGTCCTTCTCTACATTGAGCTCATCTGTAAGGGAAGTAACCCCAATGGTGTTGCTAATGCAAACACAAGGAGCCATTTGCTGTTCATGAACCACCTCCTGGGCTATGCTATCTCTATTGCCACTGGAACCTTCTCTAGTTCTTGTGCCACCCCTGTCTACAAAAACATTTGACTTCTTCCAGGGCTGGGAAGTCACTGGAGCAACAGTTGAAAGGCTGTGTTTTTCCCCAGGAGTCTGCTGCTTTCCATTCGAAAATGATAGGTTGAAGAAACTAAAAGAGCTATTACGAGAGGCATCCTTCTTGATGCTTGAGTTAGTAGTGGAAAAAAAGGAAGGAAGTGTAAACAGCCCTTCTGCTTGAGATTTGGTTCTCGGTAGAGGAGCAGAGGCTCTGTTCTCAGATTTTTCAGATCTGGTCAGGAAAGAAAATACACTCTTTCTGGTGGGCAACTCTGGTTGAGAGGGAGAGGTTGTGGGAGTTGAATAACTCCAGTGTTGGTCAGAAAAATGATCTTGTTCCTTTGAATTTCTTGGGCTGAGAATATCAAAAGATAATTTATTACTTCTTGAAACTTCTGTCACTGTAGACACACCACTAGTTTTTATTGAAGAATCTCTGGAAGACTCTTCAAGACAATTTGCTGAGAAAGACTGACTTGGTGATTGCTGGGTTAGGTAGTCTCTGGAAGGTACTCCTTCCTCAGTCAAATTATTACTCTGTATATCCCTAGTCAATGGTTCTTTTAG